AAGAATCCAGCCCGGAGAGAAGTCAACACGTGTATTTAGAAGCAAATTGAACTCTCTTAATGTTAACCAATCAAATACCAAAACCTATAATCTTGACTATCTGTAGCTCAGGATCTGTTGCCACGTATCGCCCTTTAGAAAAAATCAGATCTTGTAATGTGGTCCACTCCAATATCGCCGCGATCTGGATCGCTACCTCGCTTGGTTCTAATACCATTTTATTATCGGATCGCGTTACTAAATATATAGTATCGGATCGTGGTACTAATAATTAATATCGGATCGCGATACTAATAATTAGTATCGGATCGCGGTACTAAATAATTAATATCGGATCGCGATACTAATAATTAGCATCGGATCGCGATCCGCCGGATCACGACTTGTCCTCTTCACCGTTTCTCAGGTCATGTGAGATAGTTCATCTATGTGACATGTCATATCCACCATTCCAGTCCTCCATAGCGACGTGACCCACACCAGACCGTCTTCCACATGCTTGGATGTACCCATCTTCCTTCTTAGCGATCGCGTTCACGCGGATCGCCATCGGAAATACTGGAGATCGCAATAGCGTAATTCCTAGGCCATATTTGACCCCACATAGAAGTGCAAACTACACCATTCACTGTTTTCCATCCCATTTGACATCATCTTGAAACCTTTCTGCGAGATCGCGACTCATCAATATTGGCCGCGAGATCGCGACTCATTAATATTGGCCGTTTCGGACTTAACCGAAAATATGCGATCACACTTTGCGAAATTCACTCCTTCACTTCGCCACAATCGTCCCCTGCACCGTTAGACCAAATAAAGTGTTGGCTTAGCTGTTCACCGTCTCGTTTCACCCTTCTCGTCACTTCGTCCCCTATGGCCAGATCTCCACCCGAAAACGATCGCCACCCCCAAACTGGTGTGCTCGTCACACGCGATCTGCCGATGAATTCCTCTACTGGATCGCGTATCCTGCTCCCGTCTACCGGATAATCCTTCCTCCCGTTACGGATCGTCAAAACGCGATCTCGTTGGTTTCTTCATTGTATGACCGCCTGGAAGCCCAAGATACCATCGTGGAAGGTTACCACTTCATGGAAAATGCCTTGCAGGAGCAGGAATTTCGTGGAAATCAGCTGGAGACGGAACTCAACTCGTATCACGAGTTGGTGCCTCGACTGTGCACAATCGTCTTGCGTCGAGATGAAGCGTTGCGTCAACAACTTGACGCCGCTCTCCACATGGCCGAAGATCTCGATTAAGAACTGAACCAGCTAACGGATCAGTCTCAGGAGATCGCCGATCTGAAGAATGCCTTGTTTCGAGCCAATGCAGAGAAACATCGCCTGCAGGATAAATTCCGCCGTGAGGCGGCCAATCTTCAGCGAACTCTGGAAGGAAAATTCCGGCAGCAGATCGCGTCCCTCCAACAGCAACTGGACTCCATCCTCGCACAGCGTAATACAGCAGACAGTGCTTTGGCCGCTGACTTTCGACGCATGAAAAGCAAGGCGTCCAAGTACAAGAAAGCTCGTTCTCAGGCCCAGCAAGCCGCGAAACAACTGCAAGAGACACTGAGCGCGCTCGAGCTTGATCATGATCGCCTCCTGAGTACGAGCATTCGGAACGACGCAGCTTTGGATCGACTTCGTACCGAAGTTGCAGATCGAGAGGCAGAGCGCGATCTGGCCATCCAGGATCGAGATTTACTTCGTTCGCATCTGGCAGAATTGACTACGGGCTTACTTCCTTCTACGACTAGCCTTCTCGCGCTTTCCAATCCCTCGTCACCCAATCGCAAACGTGCGTCATCTTCACCGACTCTGGACGTCCCCTGTAAACGTCCCCGCAGCGCTTCCGGTACTTCTACTCAATCTGCGACCTCGGAGCGATCTAGCATTCCACCGCGATCTGGTACCCTGACGCAATCTGATACTTCAGCGCAATCTGGTACTCCGACGCGATCTGGTACTCCGGCGCGATCTGGTACTTCAGCGCGATCTGGTACCCCAAAACGATCTGCCAAGTCGGTGCGATCCGTTATTACAACGCGACCCAATGTTTCGTCGAAAGCTAAAAAGAAACGCAAAACGTGTCCCTCGCCTTCGCCTGACTCTGAGTATGACGGATGGTCTTTCGATCCCGAAGACGCTACACTTGCTGCTCTATCCGGATCGCGTTCAACCGCGAGGCGTCGCACCACCATGATGAACCTCTCTGGCAACACCGAATCGTCTCAGTCCCCTATCATAATTCACAATGGTCCATAAAACCAGTCTTGAGTCCTGATACGCCTCCTAGCCTTACGGCCAATATTTCCATGGTCGACCTTTTTGGTGAACCTTCAAGCGACTCGGAAGGGAAGATTAGCGTTTCCAGTGACATTCGTGAAGATATAAACCCGTTGCTCACTCCCGCTCAAATACGCCAATCTGCTGGATCTCCAAAAATCACGTGATGCATGGATCCCAGGATATCGTGAACGAAAACCCCGATCATCGACTCAGGTTGCTCCATGGTCCGCCCGACGGGTCAGTCTGACCAGTGTTGCAGAATTGGGAGTGGAGTTTTTCTATCGACACTTGTCTTGACCGAAAGGGTATCTCTTCACCCCTCAAGATAATCCCAAGTCTTTTCTTGATTCTGAGTGGATTCCCCGACTGATTACCCCGGCACAAGTTACTGCGCTTTACGATCAGAAACCGTGGAACGTCACTCGTCGACCGATTACTCCCATCTCTTTCCCTCTGACCGGTTGTTCAAAGATCTGGCAGACATTTACCTCGAATATGAAGATCGACATAGGCAAGCCTTGTGGGAGGCAACCCGCTTCCTGTATATCTCCCGCAAACTGTGGAAGGAATACCCAGAGCTGGCGCAGTTTTGTCAGCAACACAAACAGCGTCGATCGAGATCTGGACCCCGCTGGAAAACTATTCTTCGCGTTATTCTCCAAGGGATGGTTGAAGGAAACTACGATCTGGACATTTTGTTGGATCCATACTTCCTTCACTTTCCAGTGTACGCAGAAGTGCGACCATGGTATCCTGGTCTGAGTGTGAGAAGAAGAATATCCCTAACCTGGCTACCGCGCTCTCAATGTTGGACTCTGCCGAGCCGTGGAGAAATCAGTATCGAACTTCGAATAAAGGTCACCCGGGATCGCTGATCCCTCGTCTGGCCGGTAACTTTTTTCCAAAGTAACTTCTCGCGATCCGATCTGGAGTAGCACTTCGCGATCCGATTTCATTTCTTCAGCATCCAATACAATTTCACTTTGTTCGTTTCATTCTTCTGGTCGTCCTTGCAATTGTCTTCTTATTTTGGGCCTTTTCAGCCGTGATCTGGTCTTTCCGACCTTCGATCGACACTCATCTTCACATATATCCTAGTTACCCCAGCTATACAACCATCTTGTACAGCCATTTCCACTCTCCGTAAGCGAAATAACCAATTTAATAATCTTCAGCTTTTTCCTCTTCATGAGACTGCATAACTTCGAAACGATTACGGCGAACTTGTTTGCGTTCAAATTCTTTCAACAATGCTCCACAATTCAGATCAGCCTCATTAACCCACGATGGATCGGTATAACCCTTCCAGTAAACCTTAAATTGACGATGTACCCGACCAAACCGAGTTTTTCTACCGGATCGCATACCTTCAATCTTCTCCACTTCGAACTCGTTATCCCCAAGTTGCCGCTCCCAGCTATCCTCCGGTGAAGTGCCTCGTTGAAATTAAAACGATCTTCTTCTTCTACCGTCAAAAGCTGCTTCGTGCGGTCGGGAAATACTTTTACACATTTCAGCTTGGATATATGCACGATCGAGAATAATAGATACGTCGTGCCAGCGATCTCCAGGCGAACAGCGTGATCACCACACACTTCACTCACTCGAAAAGGTCCATATGTGCTAATTTTCGAGCAAATCCTTCCTTCACTCGATCTAGGTATAACTAAACTTGGGTACCGGGCTCGATCTCGTGCGGTTGTAAATCTTCATTATGCTGATCCGCTCGAGTCTAAATAGCCATTTTAAGTCGCTCGTTGACTACATCTCGGGCTCGCTGATAGTGTCGTTGCACATGATATCGCCATCTGCGAGGTTCCCGATCTCGTGGCTGAGTACTTCCAAGTGGCAACGTTGATCGAGGATCCCATCCGAGGATCAAGTAAAAAGGCGTGTCTCCACGAACTCGATCTTGGGCAGAATGTCAACCGCTCCGCATATTCGTCCCAATCTTGTTGATTGACGTCCGAGACGTACATTTTCAACGCTCGGGTTAAGGTATGGACCATACGTTCCGCAGTCCCATTTGTTTGAGGGCGATATGCCATAGTCGTTCTTTGCTTTTGCCCAATAAGTCGATTAAACGCACGAAAAAAATCCGACATAAATCCAGGTTCCCGATCGTGCCGTATTGCTTCACTCGCACCGAATCGTCGAAAGACACACTCCTCGTAATTCTCGGCGATCGTCTGAGCTGTTCTAGATTTGCTCGCCTTGGCAACCACATAGCCCGAAAATCGATCGACCCAGACCAATAATTCAGTGTTGCCTTTGAAAGATCTAGGCAGCGATGGAATATGATCCATGGCAATAATCTGGAACGGATAAGTAGCTTGTAAATTTCCGGTGACTCTCCACTAATAACAGGACGTCCTTTTCCAGTCTCTCAGTCAGTGCATTTGCTCACATATCGCTGTACACTGCGATACAAGCCTCTCCTATGAAAACGAGATCTGATCCGCTGATACGTCCTACCGATTCCCTGTTGCCCTCCTTCCAAACTGGCATGGTAGTGATGCAGAAAATCTTGCTGAAGAGTTTCTGGCACCACCAAAAGAGCAATTCCATCGCGATCTTCCGAATTTTTCACAGCTCCCGGGCAAAAAAATAGAAGATCGCTTTCATTCACTTCGTAATTACTTGCAATCTTGGCGCATGACTTCGCTTCTTCCATACTGAGATTTGTTATATCACCAATCAGAAAAATCTTTAGGTTAGCGATCCAACATTCCTCATCTTGAGCTTGTCGTATACGTTCACTTCGCATTTGCTGCACAAATTCTTCTTGCAAAATCTCGGGTGGTTGACGTCTTTTCCGGGTTGATCTGGTAATCGCAGCAACTTTAACCACCGATTCGGTCTGCTTCGACTCCAACAACTCATCCATTCTATTAAGGGTAATGAGATCTTGGCGACTCCTTCCGAATTGATGGCCACACCTTGTTCCTTCTGTAAAGCAGTACTCGCCAGTCGATCTGCACTTTGGTTCCAGTCGCGTTTCATGTGTAAGAATTCATGGATCGGCCATGATCGAAGCTTCTCCATTGCTTTCTGTCGCAACAACTGCAGTCCAGGAGCCTTGCAATCGATTTCACCCCGCATCTGTCGAATCACTAGGTTGGAGTCGCCACAAATAATAACGCGTCCCCTAGTTTGATTCTCCAACAGATCAAAGCCTAATAGTAAACCCCGATATTCGGCTTCGTTCACTTTTAAGTCCGTTGCATATTCCGATGCAGCAGCCACAATAGTCCACTCAGGAAGTTTCCATATTATCGCACTGTATGATCCACCCTTTCGCTTGGTTCGTGCCGATCCATCGAAACTGACGACCAAGAGACTTTCATCTTCTTCCACTGTAGGCGGTGGCATACTTAGAGTTTGCCTTGGTTGTTTCCGGGGAGCGATCGCAATCAACACTTCGTCGACTTCTTCCCGGGGAGTTACACTTGCAGCCAGGGCATCAAGTATCTCATCTTCGCCCTTTTCACATTTCTTGATCTCCAAAGTCCAGGTCAATAATAATGCGGACCACCTACCTAGCCTGCCATTGAGACCGGAGGATTGCACCAACCAGGCCATCGTCGAGAAACGCGTAAGAACTGCGATCGGGTGTGCTCCACCAACATCGATATCACATACTGCTCCTCGAGCTGCAGGAGGAAGCGCGTTTCCTTTGCCAATGAGTAAGTGTCGGTTCGCCCAAATTAATTGCCGTAGACCTTCTTGGTCCTTGGTTAAAGGAACTCCCGGATCGCCCACTTGGATATCATCAATCGTAACTTCTTCGCTGGAGGACAGAATCTCAGGCAAGACAGCCATATGCTGATCCACGCCTTCGGCTTACAATTCACCACTCTCGTGATAATACATCGAGTCTTTGGACTTCATCTTTACACTTCCTCCGGCTTAATTACATTCGTCGTTGATAGTCGTAGTGTCACTAGCTTGCTCTTGTTCTCGCAGATCGCGATCCAGATCGGCCAGATCGCGGTCATCAATTGTCGGATCGAGGTCATTGATTGCCAGATCAGCCAGATCGCGGTCATTAATTGTCGGTATCGCGCTCCATACATCTCTGTGTATAGTTGTTGTGAGTGTAATTTTCTTCACCCCACGGCCCTTGCGCGTGATCGACATTTGACATCCCTCTGTTCACATTGATCACCCATGGAGATTGCGCTACTTGTTCACTTTCATCTTCGATCACTAGATCTTCTACATTGTTGCCACCGATTTCTCTTATCGCATCGCATTCATCATTGGATCGTTTCGTGAGTTTCACCGTTTCCGTAGTCCTTTTTCCTGCTCCCTCCTTTGAGCGTGTTAAAATCCTTTTCGGAGTAGGGTATGAAGGATGATCCACTATTGGTCCGGTAAATTCTTCCGGTGGTTCTTCTCTCGATCCGTTGTCGCTTCAAACGCTAATGTCTGCCATGCGTTATACCGACGTGATCCCACCGAAACATACCCTGGGGACCGAGGTATCATATCAGCGACCATCCACCAACCTAATGGCAGTCCATGACTTAAAATCACCGATATTAGTCAGTTGTAGATACTTGATCTGACCTGGTCCCGTAGTTACTGTAGGTACCCACTTCGGATCGCGCCTCACCCAGATCTTGGCTTTAGGAGGACTAACTCCGATCTTTACTTCGGTCGGTTTACCCACGGGAATCACCACATATTGATCTGGAATTGTGATCGCTTGTATGGTCGCCCGGTATGGGGTCTTCGTCCATTCAGAAGTATCCTGACCTCATCAGGCAAACAAAGTGTTCCATCTGCTAAATCCAGGCGTATTCCAGCTGGGACCATGAAATCCATTCCTAGGATCGCGTCTTGACCTACTTGATCTCCTACCCAAGCATCGAAATAATAGACTAGTGATCCATTCAGCGTGATCTTGATTCTTGTACGACCATCCGTCATGTATGTGTTCTCACCAATTCAAACACATTCTTGCCTCTGACTCTCGTCAATGACACAACCTACCTTACGAGCAAAGGTGGTGTCGATGTGGTGAAGTGCTACCACGCCCCTACTAAATGGTTCAGGCAAGCGAAAGCCTCTGGAAAGGTCAACAATGACCATGCAAATTTGTTGTTCGATACTGGTGCCGAGATATCCATTTTGGATATCGCCTTTGCTCGTAAGGTAGGCTGCCAAATTGATGAAAGTGAACGACAAGAATGTATTGGTATTGGGGAAGCCGTATACACCACGGAGGGACGCACTCGCATCAAGGTCACTCTGAATGGGAACTTGGTGTACATCTTTCAGGTGTGGGTAGGCCCTATGGTAGGCCAAGATGCAATTTTGGGGATGGACTTCATGGTCCCAGCCGGTATCCGTTTAGACTTGGCCGACGGAACTCTTTGCCTCCCCGATGAGGTCAGAATACAGTTGACTGGGCGAAGGACACTGTATAATACTCGAGTATCGGATGTGAAATTGGGTCGGTATGTACAGATATCCGTTGGAGGATGTACGGAAGTGTCTCTCAAAAGGTCGACCTCAGAACAGTGGAAATTGTGGGTCACGAGAGGCGAACGATGGGTGACCACCATGATACAAGGGATAGGGCGTCGACCGATTTTGAAGATAACCAACGTCAGCCCTCGCCCCTTAACATTGCACGAAGATACCAAGGTAGGTATGTGGTTGACTAGGGATCAAGTTCCGAGAACGCCAGGGTTTGTCTCGGTAGGCTCTCGAAGATATGCGGAATGGCTAAATCTGGCTTATGAATCTACCACTGACCAAGTCGACCATCAGGTCGACCCAACGGAAGAGGAAGAGGGGCCACTAGTGGAGAGACCAGAGTATAAGACTCCGTCACACATCTTACAGCGACCAGCGGCCCCAACCCCAATGATGAATATGACGCACCAACCGGTACCCGACAGAGAAGAAAAACCGTGCGAAGAAGAGGTGAATTGTCAGGAGGAGTCCGCCCAGGAGCGGAGTGTAGCTAAGGAAGACCTACCTGCAGTGATCACTACCGAGGAGAAGGAAGCCAAACTGGTAGACTTGTGACAGGCAGATGACCAGGTGTGTTCTTTCGAGAGTGAGGAACTCTGGGCCAAGGACATAAGGCCAGGGTGGGCGGTCGTACCGGAAGTGAACCCCTCATCCGAAGGCATTGCGTTAGAAGATATACAGATTCCTGATCCAGATGGGAACACTCCCGAAGAGGTGGACCGGTTGCGACAAATAATATGGACGAAATGACATCTGCTAATGGGCAAAGGTAACGTCTTGCCCCCAGCCGCCCGAGGAGCAATATGCGACATCGATGTGGGGAATGCAAGGCCGGTCGCGCAACGTGTACGGAAGGTGGCCACCCAATTCAAAGAGAAGTTAGCCGACCTGATCAAGGGACTGTTATCGGCAAAGATCATTCAGCCTTCCACCTCGCCGTGGGCCAGCCCGATTGTAATTATCGTGAAGAAAAATGGGGTTGATATTCAATTGTGTATCGAATATCGGTTGGTGAATGATCTCACCCATCTTATGGTATACCCTATGCCGTTGATTAGCGAATTACTGGAGGACTTGGACGGAGCTTTGTGGTACTGTTCTCTTGACATGGCGAGTAGTTTTTGGGTCGTCAGTATGACCGAAAGGGCGAGACTGATCTCAGCTTTCGTTACTCCACTGGGATTATTTTAATGGCTTCGGATGCCTTTTGGGCTTAAGAATGCGCCTCAGATATATTAAAGGTTGTTGGATAATGCGTTATATGGATTCTTACGGATTTCGCCAGGGGCGACCACAGAGGAAACAGAGGATTTGTTCGCAACAGGGGAACCAGATGAAAAATCGGGCCTCTCTGTATTGGGTCGACGATCATACATTGACGACATACTTGTTCCGGCCAAATCGTGGGACGTATTATGCCAGAAAGTGGAGCGGCTGCTAGACGTGTGTGACTATTGGAATTTGTTGGTCAGTGCCGTCAAGAGTACGTGGGAATGTCGGAAGGTCGGAAGGTCGAGTATCTTGGGCATCGAGTTTCCAAAGGGGGACTAGAGGCCCACCCAAAAGATCTTCAGTCTTTGGTCGACCTACCTCTACCGACAACGCTGAAGGCTATGCAATCCTTTCTAGGAAGCCTAAATTACTACAGCAGGTACATCGAAGATTATGCCATATACGCGTCTATCCTTTATGAACTGAGAGAGGTGGATTTTCACGCTTGGAGGTGCGAATTGAAGGCTAACGAGGAAGCGGCGGCCCAGGAAGACGACGAAGAAAAATGGTCGAAGGTACAAGTAGCTTTTTCCATGCTCAAAAACAAGATTGCTACGGCGCCCATCCTACGACATTTCGACCCGGCTAGAGAGGCGGTTATTATTGTCTACGCAAGTGATTGGCTATCTCGGCGTCGTTAGTGCAGAATTACGACGGCATGTATATGCCACCCGTCGGCTGGCGGGTTGCATTCTTTGGAGGACTTGGTGATGATGTAGACGTCTGCCTAAAGGGAGGTAGACCTGGGGGGGGGCTCGAGTGGATATGCTTCACTCGGTAAGCCGGTAGGTGGCCACTCGGTCGACCTTGTCGAGAGTGGACTTAGAGCCAAATTCTTCAGGGGCGCTTGTCGTCCCTGGCCTTTTCCTTCGTGTTTCAGGGGTATCAACCATCTGACCTTTACGTCTCTCCCGGACCTTGAGGTGAGGGAGACCGCTTCCGATAGCGGGTCTTGGGGGATGTTGCTACTCGAACGAGCTCACAGGCCAAATATATCCTGGAGCTCTATTCGCCCTTGAACTTCGCTACGCAACTGTCTTCGACGGGGGGCCAAAATATATCCCTTCCCGGAACAGTGAGTAACTTAGAGCAAGTCCTTCTTGGGTGACGGAGTCGTGCCACGTAGATCGCAAATTGAGTAGTATTTAATATGATCCTATCCTTTTACTCCTTTACTCTATCCTTGCCTGAAGCTCTGATTCCTAGCGTCGACTGGTCTGATCCTTGTATTAACTGGTCCGGAGTGGCTGAACCCCGAGGGGCCGAGGTCGACCGATGAGGGGCCGAGGTCGACCAATGAGGGACCGGGTCGACCAATGAGGGACCCAGGTCTACCAACGAGGGACCGGGTCTACCAATGAGAGACCCAGGTCTACCGACGAGGGACCCAGGTCTACCTATGAGGGATCGGGTCGACCAATGTGGGACCCAGATCGAACTATGAGGGATCCGGGTCTATCAACGAGGAGCCAGGTCGATCAATGAGGGGCCATGATCAACTCCCTTTGGTACCGGTTAACCGATATCCTGATACTGATTTTCTTCGGCGGATCCTGCGGATTGTTCTCCACCAACGGTCGCTCCCCTTCGAGGCCCCTGTCTCTCTGGTCCCCTGCCCCTGACCCACGGTCTATACTCCGAATCCAACTGGATTCTGGAACCTCGACATCGCAGAATTACCACTTCACCACAAAGGGGTCCAGCAGGATGTCCACTTGCCACCATCCCTTGCAAGACCTTCTTCAGCACCCTCATCCAAGCCTTCTTCGCCTTAGTCCTCCGCTTTTTTCTTTGTTATAAAGCCGAAAGATGGACGTAATGCTGGCGCGAAGAGCCACGGAAAAGGGAAGACGGTGCCGGTCCTCTCACAGGCTCTGGCGTGATGCGTCTACGTAGGCATGATGGATCTTCACCAGGTTGGATATCCACCAGATCGACAAACCAGACATTAGACCGAAGAGGAGAAAGGATATCCAGAAACCGGAAATTGTTCCCACGAACGCGAGTACTTGAACAGCTTTCCTGGAGGACCCAGGAAATTTGAAGGAGGGCAAGACTTAGGTTTTCTAGTAGAGCCCGCTTATTTGAAGAAGGACCAGACTTGAGTTTCCTAGTAGACCCCGCTGATTTTGGAGAAATACCCGGCTTGGATTTTTAGAAGACCCCTCCGACTTTCAAGGAAAATAAGAAATAGGTGGTTTCCCAGTAGACGATACCGACTTGAAGGAGGATCGAACTTTAATTTTCCAGTAGACCTCGACAATTTTGGAAGACGACCAGAGCTAGGTTTTCTGGTGGACTCCGCCAATATCGGGGCCCGTCGAAGAAATTATTGAGGGATGTCACGGGCAAAGAACAGGATTGTGAGTTGGTGAAAACGT